AAAAAAAAATTTTTTTTTTAAATCAGCAACAGCAGCAGCATTTAATATATAAGGTGGGAAGTGATGACGCTGAGAAAGTTACCCAGCATCATCTTCTGGCTTCCACTTGCACACACACACATATGTCCATACACATGCCAACATACATACACACATACACACCATCCATACAAAAGGAAAGGAGGTAAAGAGGAACGATAGAAGAACCCCATTACTATTGCAAAGCCAAGGGGATCACAGGAAAAAAATGAAAGACACTCCAAGGAAATGCCTGTGCAGGAGCCTCCTCTGCCTCAGAGCCTTGCCAGGCTCATGAGCATATGGACTTACAATGGTGACTTAGCTAAGATAGCTTATACCCAGAAGTTCCACTAGGCTGAGGAATCACGCATTTGTGTAAACCATGTTCTGCATCTGACGTTTCTATGTGAGCTTCTAAGAAGTATCTGGGCTTTTCCTGAGTGGTCCTAGCCAAGGATTTGTTAGAGACAGGAAGACATTGAAAGAGTTAAAGGAAAGAAAATACTTTTCCTAGAAAGTCCCTCAGATTATCTTTCTGTATATAATTGTAAAATATAGTTGATGAAACAAATACTCAATACAAAGTTTCTCAGTTAGATTCTTTTGTAGAGTATGCCTAAATAGGAAGAAACAAACACAATTTTTCCACCTCTGTTCCTCAGTTGACCCCTCCATATTGCCTGCCCCTGCTAACAAGGCAAATCTAATCAATCTAACTTGACCCAGCTCTGAAGTGAGGTTTTCTTTTGGTAAGTTATAAACCACTCATTCCCCCCCTCGCTCTCACTAAAAAGGATGCATTAACACCTTCACAGCATTGATTCCGCAAAGAGTCTTACCATGAACCAGCCAAAGCGGTGCTTCAAAAAGCATCACCTGGTGTCCAGTATTGTCAGCATCATTGAGGGACTTTTTAGAAATGCAAGTTCTGGGCCCACTCCATTTCTTCAGTCAGAAGTGCTGGCAGCAGGCTGTGGCACCTGTGTTAACAAGCTGACAGCAGAGGCTGGTGATGCTAAAGTTAGAGAGTTCTGGATTCATAGCAAAGCTCACATTTTAATGTGCATGGGAACTGGTTTTCTTTAAAGCTGGATTCTCGACACTCGGTTTGGCAGGATTTTGTCAGCTCTTCTAAGTAGACCCCAAGTGATGCTGGTGCTGCTAGTCCTAAGACCTCGCACGTTCTGTGAGTAGCAAAGCGCTGAAGTATGGATTGGGGGTGCCACCCAAAGGCCCCCGTGTTAAAGGGCTCGCTCCTCAGCTCGGTGCTATTGGGAGGAGGTGGTGCTTGTAAGGTGTGGGGCTAAGTGACAGGTCTAGTCATCAACAGCTGTCCTTGAGGGGATGAGAGGCCAGACTGGTCCTTTCTCAGGAAGTCACTGAACTGCTTGCTCCACCCCCCCCCCCCCACAGCTGTAATGGCCCACCTCACCACAGGCCCCAAAGCAACAGCCAATTGCTCATGGACTGGACCTTCCAATACCGTGAGCCAGAATAAACCTTTTCTCCTTATAAGTTCATTATCTCAGATATTTGTTACAATAACAGAAAGCTGACTAACACACATGGATCTGGAAGAACTATTATGGGATGCTCCAAGAATAGCACAATAAAGTAGCTCCATCAAAGTTGTAATTCTCCCACCAGTTCCCAAGAGAATGCTTCTCTCAAAGGAGTTTGGTGCACAGCAACACTGATCACGACAGCATTTTAAGAGAGAAAAAGAACTAGCTTAATTGCCCAATAATTGGAAAAAACAGTGAATCTTACTTCTTCACAAATACTGTATTTATAAATTTACTTGGCAATTGAAGTTTATTCTTAGGCCAAATCAATATTCCTGGTACTCTTAGGATTGTTTTCACAGGTAAGCACAGCATAGCAAACATCTGAGTTGTCTGACATGTTCACAGCCTGTGCTGAACAGAGTGAAGCTCTGCATTCTTGCTTAGGCTCCTGCTGTGGGCAGACGTCTTCCTGCTGTCTAGTAACTCATGAGTCAGAACTAACAGACTTCTGCGAGAACAAACCCGGTCTCCGGGCATCGTGTATCATGCCTATAATCCCAGCATTTAGGAGGCTGAGATGAGAGGCCTGCCAGGAGTTTGAGACCAGCCTGGGCTACTCAGTGAGTTCTAAGCCAGCTCGAGCTACAGAAAGACTCTGTCTAAAATAAATAAATGAATCTACAAACACAGCACTCAAAGAAACAGCAGCTAATTAAAGTGAATATGAAACATACAGTTTAAAGAAAAGAGCATTAGCTTATAATGGTCTGCCTTTATGCCTTACTGCAAAGTTTCCATTTTCAAAGGTTTTTCTAAAACTCACAATATTGAGCTGGTGAGGTGAGTAAGGTAAGGGCACTTCCCAGCAAGCTTGAAGACCCAAGTTCAGTTCCCAGGACCCACATGGCGGAGGGCAAGAACAGACTTCCACAGTTTGTCTTATGACCACACACACACACACACCACATGCATACACATGTGTATTTAAAAGAAAAAACCTACTGTTTTCCCCATTGATGGGTATGTTAAATACAATCTTTGACATTGCCATATTTTGAGCATGCCGCTTACAGGTTTGTGTGCTGGAGGCTTGGTCTGCAGTATGGTGGTATTCAGGTCATGGAACCTTTGGGAGTTGGGGTCTGGAAGAAGCTAATAAGGCCATGGGTTACTACCCTCAGATGGAATTGTAGGATTGGCGTATTTCCCTTGAGAACTGGTTGTTATGAAAACAGCGAACCTGGCCCTCCTCAATTCCTTGCTCCCCGCTGGCCGTGTGGTCTCTTGCACATACACTTCATCACCACAACATTACCTAACATGAGCTTTACAGCAGAGCCATACTCTGGAATCTCCAGAATTTTGAGCTAACTGAACCTCTTCATTGTACGGCACCTAGCCTCAGGTGTTTTATCACAGTGAAACAAGCTGGACCCATATTTTATGTGAGTGTAAAGCATTTTACCCTTTTAAAGAGTGTCCTTTCACATTCTGAATTTGTGCATTTTCATCTGTTTCAATAACTCTTTAAAGGTAGCATTTCCATCTTTCCATTATTTTAAAGGCCCTTTGTCTCTCTGGTCTCCCCGTCCTATTCTATGCACTCTATACCCAGAATGCCTTTCCAGCATGTGGTTCTGAGAGTCCCACTCAACTTTGTAGAATCTTCTAGAGTAAAGGCAGTCATCTTGAAATAACGTTTTGCTTTTCTTGCCTATAATTTTCTTTCCTATAATTCAGTAATGAGACTCATTTCAGATCTTGTATTTCCTGCCTTGTCCTTTTGTGTTTCTCTCTGAACTGTGTTTATATTTGTAACCAACACACTTCATACATCTCTTCATTCACTTCTGGCTCATTGTTGAGGCATACTTCTTACTAGTTCTTTCAAGAAGCCTGCCTGGATCTCAGGTCTGAACATGGTGCCCCTGTACACCCTCTAGAGGTATGTGTCTCACCACGACCTGCACAATAGCACATATCACAGGATGATACAAGTGCTCTCCAATGCCCGCCCACCCAGTCTAAGTTCTGTGAGGGCGGGTGCCGTGGTCAGGCATGGATCCTGGGCTCTGTGCTTCAACAGCTGTGTAATCTGGGGTGAGTCCCTGAACCCTTAAGTCCTACACTAATCATAACGAGTTTAATATTTGTGCTCCATGCTCAGTATATTTGAACTTGCCGTCGATCACCAATGTGTCTCCAGTGCAGAGCCTGGCATATTACTAGTCATTTAAGAGCATATTGTGCGCTCCAAGATCTGCATAAGGCTCCAGGATGACAACAGAAAAGGCACAGTTCACAGAATGCAGTCCCAACCACTTCCCCACAGAGTATGGATTATACTCAAGTAGGGTACACTTCGGTTTGTTTGGGGTTCTTTGATAAAGCGAGAGTAAATTATGGCATCCACTGGCTTTTTGACTGTGAACAGTTGCGTAGAAATGGTCATTCCTAGAAGGGATGAAAGAGGGTTGTGTGTTACTGTATTACATTGGGAGTGGAATGGAGGCAGAAAACAATCCCAAGAGAGGGCAAAGAGAGCCAGGGTGTGTGACACACCAGACCACAGTAAGCACAGAGCACATGGGCCCGGCTGTGGGTCAGCTTCCCTTTTCCTCTGCTGCTATATTTTACTCATACAAACTCAAGAGGAAATATGAATTTTACATTTTAAAATTACATTTCTTTATCTTTCTCTGTCTCTTGTAGTGTGTGTGTGTGTGTGTGTGTGTGTGTGTGTGTGTGTGTGTGTGTGTGTGTGTGTGTGT